AAGTCAGCCACGTGTGAGGCATCATCCGATTTAGCACATGGAATGAAGTGCGCCATCTTCGAAAACCTGTCAACCACAACAAAAATCGAATCTTTGTTCCGGATTCGAGGGAGTCCAAGAACAAAGTCCATCGAAATATCAGTCCAAGGTGATAAAGGAATGGGAAGAGGGAGATACAAACCGTGTGGGTGTGTCTTAGATTTGGCTTGATGGCATGTAATGCATCTAGCGACCAATCGTTCGACATCCCGTTTGAGATGCGGCCAAAAGAAGTGCTCTTTGACGATTGCAAGTGTCTTCTCCACGCCAAAATGTCCCATGAGAGCTCCACTATGTGCCTCCTGTAAAATAAGCTCCCGCATTGAGCACTTTGGAATGCATAGCCTCCTTTCCCGAAAGAGATAATCAGCCTCCTTGTAGAATGATCCATGAGCTCCCTTAGTGCACTCCTCATAGATGTCTCCAAGCTCGGCATCATCACGGTACAGCCCCTTGATGTGCTCGAATACCAGCATCTTAGCCTCCATGATCGAAATCAAAGCATGCCGCCTTGACAACGCATCGGCCACCACATTGTCTTTTCCCTTTTTGTACTTGATCACGTACGGAAATGTCTCGACATACTCCAACCACTTAGCATGCCTCCTTTTGAGCGTAGATTGGCCTTTGAGATGCTTCAACGTCTCATGGTCGGTGTGAATGATGAACTCCTTCGCCAAGAGATAGTGCTGCCATGTTTGTACGGCACGAACCAAGGCATAGAGCTCCTTGTCGTAGGTAGGATAGTTGAGCGTTGCGCCATCAATTTCTCGCTAAAGAACACCACGGGTCGTTTCTCCTGCATCAAAACAGCCCCAATACCAATTCCGGACGCATCACATTCAATTTCGAATACCTTATCAAAGTCGGGAAGGACTAAGACGGGTGCACTCGTGAGCTTGTCCCTTCAAGGTATCAAAAGCCTTCTCTAGTTCTTCTCCCCACTCGAATGCTTTATCCTTCTTGATGATGGATGTGAGGGGGGCTGCAAGAGTGCTAAAATCACGAACGAATCGTCGGTAGAAGCTAGTTAGGCCATGAAAGCTTCTAACATGTCCGACGGTGGTAGGGATTGGCCATTCCCGAATAGCCTTGATCTTCTCCTCGTCTACGCTTAATCCCTGCGAGCTTACAACAAAACCTAGGAAAACTACTTCATTAGTGCAGAAAGTGCACTTCTTGAGATTGGCATAAAGCATCTCCCTTCGGAGAGTCTCCATTACAAGCTCAAGATGTGTCACATGCTCGGATAAACACTTGCTATAGACGAGAATATCATCAAAATAAACAACCACGAATTTACCGATAAAGGCGCGAAGTATGTGGTTCATAAGCCTCATGAAGGTGCTAGGAGCGTTGGTGAGTCCGAAAGGCATGACGAGCCATTCGTACAGCCCATGATTTCGTCTTGAATGCGGTCTTCCACTCGTCTCCTTCATGCATGCGGACTTGATGATAACCACTCTTCAAGTCGACTTTTGAAAAGAGGGTTGCTCTGCTTAACTCATCCAACATATCATCGAGTCGTGGTATTGGATGGCGATATTTGATTGTGATGTTGTTTATCGCTCTACAATCCACGCACATACGCCATGTCCCATCCTTCTTTGGCACGAGTAGAACGAGCACTGCACAAGGACTTAAGCTTTTACGTATATAACCCTTAGATAATAAATCTTGTACCTGCGTTTGGAGTTCCTTAGTCTCCTCAGGGTTCATACGGTAAGCGGGACGGTTTGGAAGTGGTGCTCCCGGCACAAGATCGATTTGGTGTTCGATCCCACGAATTGGTGGTAATCCCGCAGGTGGTTCCTCGGGAAAAACGTCTTGAAAATGCTCTAGGAGCTTCTTAATTTCCAGGGGATATACAATCTGATCCGATCCTGCGCTCAACACTTCCTTGTACAACATTAGTAAAACCAAATGTTCATCTAGTAGAGCTTTACTTACCGTGCTTGGTTTCATGTAGAAGTTCGCCTTTTTGTTGTTGTCTCCTTCTTTGGAGAACTTAACTTGCATCTCGTGAATCTGTGACGGACTAAGAGGAGCCAACGATATCTTACGCTTGTTAAATATAAAAGAGTAGTGGTTGGTCCTACCGTCGTTGATGGGATATCAAAGGCAACCCATTCGAGCTGGATTGGAAGCTTTCTTCGGGATGGACAAAGCGGGAGAATTCACCGAGGCAATAGGACCGATGATGGGCATACGAGGCAAGAAGCTACAAGCTGTGCCAAATTGCCTTATTCTTGAATGTTTGGGTCAAGAATACATGGGAAAGTGCATGGGCTTGGATCAACCACAAGTTCAGCCCATTATCCACTTGATTTCACTCTTGGAAGGCCCATAAATCAAGCCCAAAAGGGAGGACAAAAATTAGCATTAAATCTGGTCAAGGTGACTTTCCAACTTCATTCTTGAAGACCACAAAGTCAATAATGACTTTCTTGAAGACTACACATTCAAACCTCTTTGTTTATTCATTTATGTTTATTTTACTAACTTTCATGTGTTATTCTCTATAAATAGAGATCAAAATCAGATTGTAAACAACAACTTTGAAATATATTTTGAGAGGTTTCTCTTAGAGTTCTTTTAGAACTAATTTCTGAACTTATCGAATCTTCATCCGTGGCGTTCAAACTTGACTTATCAAGTGTTGATTCCGCACATCACTTGTGGCGTCTTCGATCACCCTACGTTTCTAAACCAGGTTCACTCGGGGTTTAAGACCGTTCGTCTCGAACGCTTGCTTAGGTTTTGTTTTCGAGTTGTTTAGGGGTTTAGGGAACCCATTCACCGCCTATCGGGAAATCTATCGATCTTGGGATCATATCATTTGGTATCAGAGCCTAGATTTTCCTATTAGGATTATCCTTTATCATTTTTATCTATTTTACATTCTATCTTATCTTATCTTGTTTTATTATTTCTTTTGTAATTTTATTGATTTCTGGTTTTGATTTTGTTGCAGTTCAAAGTGGAAAGGGAATCAACAAAAAAATACAAAAAAATCTAGGCTCTGATACCAAATGCTCGAACAAAAAAATCTAGGCTCGAAGAAAAAAAAAATCTGCAAAAAAAAAAATTCGAAGATAAACAAAAAAAACAAAGAGAAAAACATACAAAAAAAAAGAAAAGAAAAAAAAGAATAGTCGAAGTTGATTCAAATTTGAGTCGGAGTTTCATCTTTGAGTCGTTGAGTCATAGTCCAAAATTTTCGAGTCATAGTCGAAGTTTCATTTTTTAATCGTTCGAGTTTTCTTGCTTTGAATATTGGGTTTTGAGATTTAGAGTCACTCTTACTCATCTTCTAACTTGGTTTAGTGAGTTGAGTTTTGAATTTCATTGTTGTTGCATCTGATTGAGTTCCTTAATTAGTTTGCACAAGGATTCATAACAGAAACGGGAGAGTTGAGTGATACAGAAATTGAGCGAAACACATTTCTGAGTGATTTGAAAATATCATAATGGCGGATGAACAAAATCGCAATCTAGACAATCAGCAACATGAAGAAGCAAACCCACTTCAAATGCAGGCATTGATGGGTGAACTACGGAGAATCATGCGAGCTGAGTTGGAGGGTATCCATCAAAGAATAGACCGATGGAAAATGAGGCGCAGGTCACACGTAACCTGCCATGATAAAATGCAGTGCAAAGACAACCTCGAAATGTTCCCGAAAGAGCTAGAACATCATCACAAGTTTCTAGCAACGAAGAAGATGTGAGATCAGATTTTTATGAGGCTCCTCGAAGGCAAAGACGAGAACGAAGAGCTCGAGAGTGTGTTGATGATGATCTCAACGGTATAAAACTCGAAATCCCATCTTTTCATGGCAGGAATGATGCTGAAACTTACTTGGAGTGGGAACGGAAGGTTGAGATGGTGTTTGACGTACATCACTATTCTGAGCGAAAGAAAGTGAAGTTGGCAGCCGCTCGCTTTAGTGATTA